AGGAATGGTTGGGAAATGCTTCCTGGGCAAGAAGTGATGAGAACTAAAGGATTTGATATTTGCGCAAGGGATGATGAAAAATGTTCCAGGGAGAGGATAGTTATTAATGAAGGTCTAAGACTTCAGAAATAAGCTTGGCTTCTTTGTGGAAGAGAGAAAATGATTTGATTTTAGTGGGAATGTTTGTTTGGAGCTTAAATTGGTGAGATAAGCCTTCTTTTAAAAACAGGACAGAAAGGCTTAAATTGGAATTTACGGGCAATGGGGATGCACTGAAGATGGTGGTGGCAGTAACAGCCATTTAATGTGGGCTTTTGGTGTGCCTGGCAGTGTGCTAAATACTTTACATACACTGCCTCATTTAGTGTTTAACAACTTTATGAGTTATTCATTCTTTCATTCAGTAATTCACCAGCTGCCATGTGCCAGTCATAGAGTGCTAGACATTTTTTGTCCTTATTTGGCAGATGAGGAAACTGAGGCACAGCAAGTTAAATAACTTACCCAGTGATGGAAGTGAGTTTTTGATTTTGAAGATACAGTAGTTGGAGAGGCTAATAGGGGCCTCTTGTACTAATCATTCTTTTTTAAAACATAATTCCTCCGTCATTTTGTTTATTTATTTATTTTTGGCTGTGTTGGGTCTTCATTTCTGTGCGAGGGCTCTCTCCAGTTGCAGCAAATGGGGGCCACTCTTCATCGCGGTGCGCAGGCCTCTCACTCTCGCGGCCTCTCTTGTTGTGGAGCACAGGCTCCAGATGCGCAGGCTCAGTAATTGTGGCTCACAGGCCTAGTCGCTCCGCGGCATGTGGGATCCTCCCAGACCAGGGCTCGAACCCGTGTCCCCAGCATTGGCAGGCAGATTCTCAACCACTGCGCCACCAGGGAAGCCCCTGTACTAATCATTCTTTATATTTTAGATTAGAGAGAAAAAAAGCATTGAGAAAAGGATTATGTGACTAGGAATTAGACTGGAGGAAGTGACTGAAAGCTAGTAGAAGGGATGAATATACAACATTTGTATTTGAGAATTGGCCTAAAGAGTGACTAAATATGACTGAATTAAGATTTACAAAATACCTATTAAGCAAAATTCGAAATAATGAAGTCTCCTTTCCAATTAATTTAGGTTGCATCTTATTCTTACAGGAAAATTCTTCATTTTGCAGGCAGAATAAGCTGGAATACCTAGTGTTAGTTTCTCTATCTTGTATCTGTGGCCACAAGTTAACTGGGCTAGTTTTTCTAGTCTCCTCTTTTCTTCCCACAAATAAAAACCAATTAACGGGGGCTTCCCTGGTGGCGCAGTGGTTGAGAATCCACCTGCCGATGCAGGGGACACGGGTTCGTGCCCCGGTCCAGGAAGATCCCACATGCCGCGGAGCGGCTAGGCCCGTGAGCCGTGGCCGCTGAGCCTGCGCGTCCGGAGCCTGTGCTCCACAACGGGAGAGGCCACAACAGTGAGAGGCCCGTGTACCGCAAAAAACACACAAAAAAACAATTAACGTCTTTGAACTTACACGTATATACTAAAAGAATTATTTCTTTGTGTTTAGAAATGTAGCACAATGTTTTGATACCATTAGAGAAAATGTTTTGAATCTCAAGTGTTGACTTAAAGGGGCTGAACCTATTCCTTAGTTATAACCCTACCCCTTACTAGAGCACAAAATAAATGATGTTTTTGGGTGACTATGTAGTCTTGATATTGAATCTTAGTTTTTATTATATTTGGTGAAGATAAAGCAAAATTAACATTTTTATAGCTGTTCGATATATCAGTATGGTAAATTGGAATTTTAGATTACAGGAAAAGTTGAGAAAAATATTGTGCTGAAGAATTCGATTTTAAAATTATGTTTTATTCTATTATGTAGTAAGTACTGAGCTTAAGAAAAATGTAACATTGTTTAATGGGTATAGAGTTTCTGTTTTGTAAGACGAAGAGTTCTGGAGATTTATTGTACAACACTGTGAATGTAACTAACACTACTGAACTGTACACTAAAAAATGGTTAAGATGATACATTTTATGTGTATTTAACCACAATTTAGAAGTTGTTTTAAAAAAAGCCCCGAACCATAGAATATACAGCACAGAGTGAGCCCTGATGTAAAATACTGGACTTTAGTTAATAATATTGGCTTATCAGTTAATAAGAAATATACCACACTAAAACAGTATCTTAAAAATAGTGGAAATGGGGGGAAGATGGGGTAAAGGTATACGGGAACTCTGTACTTTCTGCTCAGTTTTTCCATAAACCTAAAACTAAAAAAGTCTTAATTAAAAAAAAAGAAAAATGTAATAAAAGACAAATAATTTCTCTTTTTGTTTTGCATTGGTATTGGGTGTCAGGAAATGTAATGACTTGCTTAGTTGAAGAACTTAATTAAAAAGAAAACAGTTTTCTTGACAGCCTTTCTAAGGGTTCACAGGGCTCTTAAATTATAATATTTGGCAGAAAGGAGTTAGGAGATTGTAGGAGAGGAGGTGAGGCCCAAACAAATTGGCAAAGAGCGACAGCGACAGCACTGCGGTTTATTTATAAATAGCTGTGCTAATTCTAATGAGAGCTGGTGTTTTCCATATTTTCTCATTTTCTATAACCTTATTTCTTGTGACACCAGGATAGGGTACTTCCTCTGTCACCATCTGCTTCAGTCACCTGCCATTTCTGATGGTCTTCTGAATCGTAAATTTGAAAGGAATTTCATAAGTCCTGTGTTAAATCTAACCTATGCAAAGTAGCACCTGTACCTGATGCTCATATGGCTTTTATGTTTGAATATACAGGGCGGGGATTGAACACACATTGTTTTAGAAAGTGGTCCATTCTTATCACAGAATACTTTTCCTTTGTCTTTATAACTTTTACCATTGTTCTTATTTGACCTTTGCTTCAGCACAAAGGAAGTCTAACCATTTTTTTTCTCATTTATCCCTTTTCCTTTTTTTCAGGTCAGCATTCCAAATTTTAACTGTTCTTCATTTGAGAAGACCTTTGTTATTCCGTTGCTGTCACCCCTAGATAACATTTCCAATTTCTCAGTTTCTCTCAAAATAGAGTTCTTAAAGCTGAACATAATACTCCAGAAGGAGACTATTTAATGTAGAATAGTATGGATTTGTTATTTTTTGCGAGACTGTTCATTCTATTAATTTGTTCAAAAATTACATTTGTTTTTTACAGCCATGGTATTTTTAGGACCATCCTGAACTTTCTTAAAGTCTGTAGGTTATTTTCTTATGAACTGTTGTGTTTCAGCTAGAATGTTATTACCTGTGCAGTTGATTTAAACATTTTTAACATTACTTGTTAAACATTCATTTAATATTCAGAAATAATTTTATAGAGTGTTTTTAATGTGTATTTTCATTTATGTAATCCCATTTGTTTCTCATAACAGCCCTTGGAGCTAAGTAAAAAACCTCTTTGTCATAAAAATGAGGAAACTCATGGTCAGAGAGGCTGACTTATTAAGGTCACATAACTTTAGAGTTGGTAGAATTGGGACTCAACCTCAGATCTTCTGATTCCACATTTTATATTCTTTTTATTATATTATGTTGTGCTAACTATAGATATCTTTAGGTAAATTAAGACTTTGTGAATAGGATTTTAAATCCCCATTCATCCTCCCTAGTGAGTTGGCAACATTTTGTTCCCCTTAGGGATGGTGTTTGGATCCAGTCTTAGTTCATTTCCATATTCATCTGTCACTCAATTGATCATCTTTTATGAAACACATTGCCCTTGTTGATTAAGTTTGAAAGAATGACACTGGGATTACCTCTGTTTGCATTTTTAATTTTATTATAAGGGCTTAAGGATTCATTCTGCAAGTATCTCAATTTTAGGTAATACTATTATTAGGACTTGTGTCTTTTTCTCTGTGTTATCCTTCTGTTTATTCTAACTGCTGTTGTTGCTTCTTGTTACATTATTATTGACTTTGTTCTCTTTCCATTATTGCTTCAGAATCTATAATAATAATTTTTAAAATTATTAAAAATAAACAATAGTAATAGTAAGGACACGTTATTTACCAGGCACTGTTCCAATGTTTTAGGTGTATTCACTCGTTTAATTATTATAACAACCCTGTGAGGGTAGATACTGTTATCTTTTTTTTAAACTGAATTACCGAGAGGTGAACTTAGTTGCCCGAGGCTACTTAATTAGTGGTGGAGTTGAGATTTAAGAGGCTAAATTACTATATTAAACCACTTCTCTCTAGCTGGGCTATTCCTTTGTCACACAGACATTTCTAACTAAAGGGCAGCTTTCCTTCGTTTCCTTTCCTTTCCCTTTCCCTTTCCCTTTCCCTCCCCTCCCCTCCCTTCCC